CAAAATGATTTTGCTACTCTGAAAGATTAAGTTTCAAAAATAAATACCAGTCATTGGCTACACTCCCCCTATGGAGTCTTATTATTTATAGCAATGACTGATACAGGAAATAAGGTCATGTATCAGAAGATCCTACTGGCTTGTTCTAAACTAGTCACACAAACGTCCAAACTCTGCCCTTCTTAGACTCTGATACTTCCTGTTCTCCAGTTTTCAGTGGACCTGGTTTCCAGGACAAACTCCTAACATGGCAATCGAGCCCTATATATCTTTCCAGCTTCTCTTGTCCTATATATAGACTGTGATCAAACAGAGGACGTCTACTTTCAGTGTCCCAGATTCACCATGTCCTTGCATGCCTTCATGCCATTGACACAGGGTTCACTGCCTGACATGCCCTCCTTCCCTCATCAGCCTGGCAAACTCTCAGTCATTCTTTTAGGCTCAGCTCAATCATCACTCCATCTGGGGAGACTTTCAACCTCTGCTTGCAAAGTTCATTGCTTTTCTTTCTGTGTTCCCAATAGAGACTTGTACGTGCCTCTATGTGAACATTTTGTATGATTATTGTGTCAGTCTCCATGTCTCACTCGGCCCCAGGTTTTAGCACACTTTTGGCATGTAGTCAAGGCTTGATTCATGTTTGTGTAATGACTTAATAATTTTAGCTTTATATATCCTGTGATTAACATATGCCAGGCACTATGCTAAGTGCTCTCTGTATAAATGTCTCATTCAATCCTTACAAAGATTAGTAGGTAGTAATGATCTTTCTTTAGTTCTTTCTTCTTTTTCTTTTTTAGGTTTTTACCATAGGGTGTGTGCACTCACACAACACAGAGAGAGAGAAATTGAGAAATCACCCTACCCCCACCCAGAGATTATGGCCATGTCACAGTCTCTTCTCTTCCATTCTCCTCTTGAAATTTTGGGCACACATGTACACTCACCCAGTGAGTGTGATTTTCAAGCTGCTGGGTCTGGGGCTTGAACCACGGTAGACCATGTGGGCGTCTAGCACCTTAGTTACTATGCCACCTGCTGGTCCCTCTTTTTTATTTTCCAAGATCTCACTGTGTCCCAATCTTCCTGCCTTAGGCTCCCTAGGTAGGTGGGTCCACAGGTGCACACCAGCATGCCTGGCTCATTTTGTAAATAGGATTTCGGTATGTTACCCAGGTCAGCCTCAAGCTCTTGATTCTCCTCCCTCGCTCGGCCTACTGAGTTGCTGGGATCATAGGCACATGCCACCACATCTGGCTTTTAGGGTAGACCCAGGTCTCCCAAATTATCCTAGTTTTCGGAGTACATCTTTGCAGTGTATGTCACTGCGATAAGACCTCATATTTTAAATAGACAATGAATCCTGAGAAATATCAACTACTTGCCAAAAGGACACAACTAGTTGGTGGAAGACCTCAAATTTGATCAGTGTTTTTCTGACTCTAAAGACAGTGTTCTCTCTCTCTTTTTTTTAGAGGGAGACAGAGAGACAGAAAGAGAGTGAGAAATCACCCCCCAGGGGGACTGGCCACACCGCAATCCCTTCTCCTCCATTCTCCTCTCGGGATCCTGGGCATGCACACCCACACACCCATTGTGAGTTTTAGCCACTGGGTCTGGGACTCAAAACGCAGTTGATTACATGGGAGTCCAGCGACATAACCATTACACTAACTGCTGGTCCCACAAGACAGTGTTCTTAAATGTTATATCATAGTGCTTCCCTGTAAGAGCCCAGATTGGACTTGATTGCTAATAACAATTGTTCTTTGATAGTTTTTACCCAAACACCATCTTCATAGTTAGATCACATACACGTGCACGTTTAGTAAGGTACACACAATAAGGAGATCTCAAAAAATTCATGTAAACTTGAACTAAAGTATCAATGCGAAACTGTTTTGGAATCCACATATAATTTTTTCACACTACGCATTTTCTGTGAATTTGTTGAAGACTTCATGTCCATGTTAGACTGTTATAATTGGGATGATTAGTCTTCAACATTGTAAAAATCAAAAAGTTGGGGGAAAAACAAAAGCTATTAACCACATCAATAAAAAGTCACTAGAATAGAAAAAAAGTCTATTTTAATTAAAAAAAACTTATAAAATTACCCCAAATTGCATGTGATTTTTTTAATGGACTACAGCCACCCTTCTGCATTTCTACTTTATTTCCTGGACAAGAGGAAAATGTATTATTTATGCAAAAGAACAGTTAACATTTCCAGCCACAAACACATGGCCTGTAAAAAAATAATAATCCCATTTTGCTATTGTGCAAGAGCCTCTGCCAGGCAGCCGAAATGTACACGGGCTAGTTTCCTGTTACTCTACTACGGCTTTCTCTTTCACTCCCCGCCCAGCCCAGACTAAATAGTAAGTCCTTGGATAATAAAGCTATAATACTAAGTATCAAGCTGTTTCCAAAAGTGTTTCTGCCTGTCTTAAGAAATAATCCTATCTGTTTGCTAATAAGCAGAATGCATTGCAAGTTCAGTATGTTGTCACAAGGGGCTAAAAAACATATAAATCAATCGGTGACCAAAGAAGAAACAATATATTTCTTATGTGTCCAAAACATTATGGTTAGGATCACAGCTGTAAGATGTTGGACCTTCATCAAGAGAACAATGTCAAACACTGAACTGTTGGATGATTTCCATAAAAATAACATTTTGTTTGGGGTCAGTAGTTTTTATGGAACTTTGGAATGATTTTTGCTGACAATTTTTTCAGAGTTGAACTCGAACACCTCCAAAATTCTCCTCAAAATGGAAATATTATGTAATCCAACCTTTGCAGCCATCTTCTTCTGAAAACCAAGCACATACAAAAACCAGCATTTCTCACTCTCAGTTTTTGTAACTTTATGAAATTTAAATTATGCTACATATGCAGGAAGGTAAATTTATTCTTCAGTTTTCTTTGGGTTGTTATCATGTTCAAATTAGCATTTCAATGTGTAGTCATAAGATCTAAAATTTTTTAAAAGTACCTGGATTTCTTCCTTAGAGGTCTTAGCAACCCAGAAATATTCTTTTAAGTGAAGATAACAATGGAATTGAAAGATCATTGTTTAAGTGGCTCACCTTAGGAATAACAGTTAACTCTAATGCTTTTTGTTCATTTTTATACATACCTCAAAAATGTGAGAGATATTTGCTGCTCCATGGTCTGAATTTTTATTTCCATTTACTGTCCTTTTAGAATCCAGAATTTGTAGTAATGTTATGTTGAGCCCAGCATGGCAAGTTTTCATGAAGTAACTGGGAGGTTTTTAAAAAAATACATAGTCTCATGACAAAGCTTATTGTGGCATGAAATCATTAATCCAAGGAGACTGTACTGGCCTAGTGCATGTATGAAGTGTTAATAATACCACTCACTAGGGTTCCGTAACTAGAGCTTACAAAAAGGTAAGCCAAACCACTGAATTCAATATTTGCAGTCTATTTCAGGACATGAAAATATTTTGGTTTTCTCATGCAAATAATTCTCCAAAATACTTTTATCCAAAGTGGCTTATTGTAGACAAACTAATTACAGATTTTACATGGCTCAGTGTGAAGGGATATGCATTCAGATTTTGCCCCACCAATAGGTAGTTGCTAGTTTTTATTTACTATGATATTACTTTAAATCTTAGTAATTTTTCATTGGGATATACGTGTTCATGGATGCCCTTAAACCATGCCCTCAGAAATCTGCACTACTGATTGTAGAGCTCACCCACCATATCTGCAAGTTTCACATCAAAAATCTTCTAGAAATAAATATTAGTTGCATGTATACTGAACATGCAGATTTTTTTTTCTTGCCATTGTTCCCTAAATAATACAGAATAACGACTATTTACATAGCATTTATATGGTACAGAATGAGAACAAAAAGGGTTTGGCTGTTTCTGTGACTAGTTTAGAACAGGTCAAATCTCCTGTAATCTAGGGATAATTTTAAGTATACATGAGGACGTGCATAGGATTACATGAAAATACCATACTATTTTATGAGATTCGAGTAGCTGTAGCTTGGGGTATCTGCAAGGATCCTGAAACCAATTTTCCACAGATACTGAGGGACAACTGCATATGTAAATGTTTACATGATAATAAATCATCTACATAACTTCCTATTTTAAAATAAATAAATTGCTTCAAATTGTTGCCAATCCCATGTACTTTAATCAAATAACTCTCAGTCATTTGTCAATGTGAACAGAATAAAATTTGATTCTTTACCTTGGCTCCATATGGGCTACAATGTCTTCCTACATTAAGACCTATAAAGTCATGTTCATTGCACTTTTTAAGATACTTCATAGTGAGAGATGAATTAAATTTATCTTTCAAACCCAGTTCCAATTTAGGGGCCTCACTGAAATTCATTACACATCCAATAAATATCTACACATTGATCTAGAGACAGAAAGTCCCTACCTTTGTAGCTAATGCCACAGAGTTATTGATACATTATAGTCACCACCCCCCTACATACAGAGAAATGGCAATGTAAATTAACTTCAACATACAAATGTTTATGGTAAGAAAAATACAGATAGGCCCAGCTGTGATGATGCAAACAGGAGGGAACCACTGCGTGGTAGCTAAGGCCACATAGGTGTCCCGGGTCTGGTGCTGGAACAACCTAAACAGGTTGGGCCAACCACAGTTTGAACTCTGGATGGGAAGCTTAGAAAATGTGCAAGCTCCATATCCAATAGGATGAAGAAATGGAGGCATAAAGATTGCAGTGAGAACATACCCCATTAGGGTGTTCTCTTTCTGTCTCTTTTTTTCGCGGGTGAGCATGCACGCCTTCTAGTGATTAAAAAAAAAAAAAAGAGTAAGTGAATGAATGATCTAAATAGTAGATATTTGGTATTCATGACTATAGTATGCAACCTAAGAGAAATTTAAATAATTTTAAAACCTTAGAATAAACAAATAGAGCATAACTGAATGTAATGTTTAAAGGATTATCCTTTCATTTCAGGGAAAAAAGGAAGGGAAAGGAAAAGGAAAAAACTAAATAAAGAAGAAAGTAAGGAAGCAGCAATACCTGAGAACAAAGGTCTGGAATCCAGCAGAGAAATCCCAGAACGAGAAAGCAAAGACAAACAGCAGCAGAAGAAGCGAAAAGCCCAAGATAAACAACAGAAATCGGTATCAGTCAGCACTGTACACTAGAGTTTTCCACAAGATTATTGTAGACTCACGATGCTGCTATCTCAACCAGATGCGCAGGGCAGGTGCTTTAGCCATTAGGACCACAAGTGGACAACATATCGGGTTACTGCTCCATCTAACCAACATTCCAAATAGTTGCTATATTCTTCCTAACAAACATAGTTAACAAAAAGCCAAGAGTTCAAAGAAGGGATACTTCTACATGGTTACTCTAACTGCTTCTGTGCATTCTTAAAAGACAAGAAATTTTGTACATATTGATGAATAGGCTATAAGATGTAACAATATAATGATGACATCTGGAGCAAAACATCTTTTCCCTAAAAAATATATATATATATTTTTTTCTCAAGCTGTTGTTTTAAGAAGCAAAAGTTAATTCTGCAAATTCAGAGATGCAGGGACCCAGTATCCCTTCGAAACTAGTAAGAGATCAGGGGAGAGAATCATCGTTCAAAAGACAGTGTTGTTTTGTCCAGGAGATCTAAAGAGTGCTCAGAATTAGGGCCTGGCATTTGGAGTCATGGGATTTATCATCACAGAAACAATTTTTTAAAGATTAGACCTATTAGTTCCATTGCAACAAAACTAATATTGTACTTCTACAAGAAACACATGAGTGCATACCGCAGGTAAATATGCTGTATGGGATTGGAGAAAAGCAAGATGTGGAAGAAATCATAGAGCTGAAGATTGCTTTTGTGCTTTACAAAACTGTAAAGGGTTGTGCTCTCCTGGAAGAGATCACCAATCTATGTGAGCACTATGTGGTCAGTCTCTGCTTTCCCTCAGATTATATAAGTCTGTAAACATGTGCCTGTAATTTACTTCCAAAAGCAAAATCATACTTATTAGAATAAAATCCTGATTTCATAGAAAAAAAATAGAGCAAGATGAATATAACATGTTTGCAAAGTCATGCATTTTCTTTGTTTGTCAATGAGGGGAAAACAATTTTTGTTACCTGCTTAATGGTCCACCTGGAACTAAAAGGAATACTACTTTCTAACAAGGTGTATCTAGTAGGGGAGAAAGCCACCACAATAAATATATTTGTTAATAGTTTCTAAAGTTTTGTTCATTTTGTTTTATTGCTTGTTTTATTGGGAAATTGACTCATGAATTAGGAAAGAGAATTGTGCTAAGTCAGAGAACCTATGTGCCATGTAATTCAGAACACATTACATTTCTCACTGCTTACTTTCTGAATCCACCTTTATGTGAGCCAATGGAGATTTACTTAGAGTATTAGGGTTTATTTATGCAAGTGTTCCTATTTTAATCAACAAAATTCTCATTATAGACACATAGGCCTCCCTAAATGACTTCACTACTCCCTCTTCATTGCTTAGAATTGAGCATCATTTCTTATATATCAGTTCCTCTTACCTTCAACATTTAGCCTTTTCTTCTCCATATTTTCTCAGTCCATGGATCTCTTTTGGGAACTGAAGTCACCCTAGCTGAAGGCCTCATGGGTTTCAAAGAGGTAACTGCAAACGCAGTACAGGAGGAGGCCTCTCAGAGTGTATAGCACAGACTCTCATGACCCACCTTAACCTTCCTATTTTAATGGAAGGATATACAACTACCCTGTCCACCATGCTTCCTAGCCCTTCAAGATCACTGCCTTCAGGGACCAGCAGATGGTGTAATGGTTACATTGCTGGATTCCCACATAGTCAACTGTGGTTCGAGTTCTGGACCCAGCAGCTTAAAATTCACACCAGGCACATATGCATTCATGTCCCAAATCCCAAGACGAAACTAGAGGAGAAGGGATTGTGGTGTAGCCATCCCCCCTGGGGGGGGGTGTGATTTCTCGCTTTCTGTCTCTCTGTTTTTCTCTATGTCTCCAGTGAGCACATGCGCCCTATAGCAAAAACTCTCTCTTAAAAAAAAAAATTATTGCCTTCTGAAGAAATGGTAATGAATCTGGCTTCTGGCTGCCTATCTCTGGGCACCTTTTCTTCACCAACTGCACTGCTCATGTAGACTCCTTAACTTAATTGGTTTTCCACTTCTCTTTTTCTATTCCAAGATATAAAAATATAAAATAATATATTCCTGTTTTCTACTCTGATGTTTCTTTCCTTTTCTGCATTAGGTAAGTGTTTCAACTAACCAGATCTATTTTCAATGTTTAAATCATCTTAATTCTGTATTCCACTAAAACTTATGTTACCAAGAAGAAATAACCTTATCCTACAGAATTATGTTAGGTGGAAATATGCTCCCATGTTTTAGGATTTTTGGATGGGTTTAGGTCCATCTTCATCCTCAGTGTTATCCAGTCAAGGACAGTAGCCAAATTATTTTTGCTTGTCTTTCCATGTTCATCATTGTCTTCATTCTTTTCAACAAGTCCTTTTGTGGGAAGGTCTACACATGCACAAGCAATGCCAGAAAAGGAGATAAGTAAACCAAGACACAATGGTGGCAAATGACAATTACATCTTGCCTTGTCTTTTAACTCAAGGCTATTACCCTATAGTCCTCCAGACTGTGGCAGAGAATACAAATCTTTGATATAGAAAAGTTTAAAAAGTAGACTTAATTGAAAAGAAAAGTGAAATTTCCTGCCTTTATGCATTGGGGGAAATACAAATAAAGACAAAAATAACTATTTAAACTGTCATTCTCAATCCACTTATAATAGATCCTTAAGCATATGGGATTATACACTATTGAAATGATCACCTTTCTTAATTGTAAACAAAAATTCATTGTCAACTTCTGGTAAAGCTCCTTCGCTAGTCACAAGAGGCATTAACTTTCTGCTCTGATTCTACTCTGAGATCTGGTCATTGACGGTGGGGAAATTACTGAAACAAAGACAGAATCAAAAGAGTACAACAACATAAATCTGTCAGTGTCTGATCCATGTTCCTGCCATGAGAAAGACCCATATTCTATTACCAGAAGATTTAAGCTCGAGGCCCAGGTGTGTAACCATTGGCAAATCACTTAAAAACTCGATGTCTCTATTTCTTATATGCAACAGGAAAGAGGGAGACTGGAGATGGTCACTGTAGTCCCAAGCAAGGGAACATTTGACAGTTCCTTTATTTCAGGGCAATGCCTCTACTGAGTCCTTATTATTGACAATGTCTTTTTGAAATGATCACAACCCTCCTTTTCCCAAAAGTAGAAATTAATTGTCTCCCAGAGAAGACAAATTTGACTCTGCTGCTCTGATGTTACTTAATTAAAAGATTTTCATATTACCAGTTATTAAAATAATATTGAAAATAAAAAGAATATATAAAGATAATGCCAGGAACAAAGGCTGATCCCCACAAAGGAAGACAGTAAAAAAAATATGTGGGAAGTGCACCACAGCTAGAGTTTGACAGCCTGTGCTAACGGTTGAAACTTGTATGACCTTGGGCAAGGTGCAGGATCTCTTAGAGCCTTCATTTCTCAAATGAAAAATGTAAATGGCAGCAACTCTCTTACAAGATTGTTATAAGAATTAAAAGTTTTACCACTCAATATAATAACAGTTATTTGGGCCCAGCCATAGTAGAGCAAATATCAGGGCACTGCTGCTCAATGCTAAAGCCACATGAAAGGCTCTATCTCAGTTCCTAGACCAGCCTAAAAGTACTGGGCATGACGATGCACCTGTAATACTAGCTAAATGGGAGGCTGGGGCAAGAAAAATCACAGCACAGTGAGACCTCATCAAGAATACCTATCTCAGGTCAGAAGGTGATGTGGTGGTTAAAGCACTGGATTCTCACATAGCTGACCACTGTTCAAGTCCTGGACCTGAGGGTTTGCAAATCACACCATGTGTGTATGCATTCCCATAAACCAGAGAGGAGAATGGAGGAGAAGGGACTGCAGCATGGCTATCGCTCCAGGAGAGTGACTTGTCTGTCTTTCAGGCAAGCTCACATGCACCCTGTGGCAAAAAAACATAAAAACAACAAAACTTGCCTCTCTAGTTCCCTTATACAAATACAATAATACTAGTAATTTTTCTGTATATGACTAGATATAAATGGGAAGTAATGACTAATTCCACAAGTCACACATTACATCCATTTTATTTCTTAATTAATTGTATGTGGTAGTATCCATACAAGAATACATGTGTAGAAATTTCAAAGTACAGATATATATGTGAGAATTGTGGAGATGAAATGAATAATAGAACCTAAAATGCAAATGTCAATTTTGTCTTGGGTTCTCTTGAAATTAAGAAATAAGTTTTTTTAATAATTACTATTTTATCTAGAATTATTTTATTTAACTTTACTTATTTATCTATTTATTTAGAGGAACAGAGTGAGTAAGAAAGAGAGAGGGAAAGTGAGAAAGTAAGCTGTTAGGTACAGGACTTGAACCACTGTTAGCCACACGAGAGTCCAAAGTCCTTAACTATCACGCTACCTGCCAGCCCTGAAATTGGTTACTCTTAGAAGTATGCATTTTTCTGTTTTCACAAATGGGCATAAATAAAGACAATCTTTTCCATGGATATATTTTAATAACAGAGGAACTGAACAGATTCTTTCTCAAATCAGCTGCAACTATTTCTGGGCAAATTAGGGGGAAAGGCCTCTTTTCAAGGCTGATTTGTTACAAGCAGAGTGTAACTTCTTGCAATGCAAAGAAAATTAGTCTGGAATCCATACTCCACCGAAAGAATAAGATTAAATAAAGCTGGCATTTAGATCAAATGAGACTTTTTCCATTTCAAGCATTAACGCTTCATCTCACTAAGTGAGTAGATTATGATCATTTCGTTCCAAGATTTTTTAGAGAAATATAAAGCAAAATAAAGCAAAGTAATTCCTTTATGCTAACCACTTACTTCCTAAGTTACACTATGTAATTATTCCAAAAGTCTTCTGAGGGAGTTATTGATAACTTTGTTCTACCAATAAGGAAACTGAGGGACAGAAAAGTGCCCAAAGTCACACAACCGGCAGCTAGTGAGCCTGGAAGTTATACCCAACCTTAACTGACTCCAGAGCCCACGTTCCTACCCCTTCATCATATGCCTTAAAATCATATTTTTCCTAGTTTGAAGATTGCTGTTATGTA